TCCAAGCATTCTTCACAGCCTGTCAGATTAATTTGCCTATAGCACAATTCTAGTCGTAGCCCTTACATCTGCTGCTCAAGCAACTTAAACTCTCTCCACCTCAACCTCCTCATTTATAGAAAGGTTATAATGATGCTCTGCTGATTTTGAGGAAATGGGATAATTTCTATTAAAAATTATAATACTTGTAAGGAGTTATACACAGATGTTATTATTGGTATCATTTTACTGCCCAGCCTAAAAGCCTTCGGTGGGAGAAAGCCTGTCTGCAGCCCAGGCCTACTCACTCTAGCTCCAGCTGACTTTCTCAAGTGCTTCTCTTCTCCTCTTCCACAAAATGAATGCTCCGATCTTACAAGATTGGTCTAATCGACATCCTCTGAGCATGTCTTCTTTTTTTTTGAGGACGATTAGCCCTGAGCTAACATCTGCTGCCAATCTTCCTCTTTTTGCTGAGGAAGACTGGCCCTGAGCTAACATCTGTGCCCATCTTCCTCTACTTTATATGTGGGACACCTGCCATGGCATGGCTTGTCAAGCGGTGCGTGGGTCTGCACTTGGGATCCAAACCGGTGAACCCCGGGCCACCAAAGCGGAAGGTGTGAACTTAACCACTGTGCCACCAGGCCAGCCCCTGAGCATGTCTTCTTAAAGCCCCATCTGAACCATTTTCCATGCTGTTCCTTCCACCTAGAATGCCCTCTCCTCCACCCCCTCCCTCACTCTGCCCTCATCCGAATCTTACTCTCCATTTTGGCTAGCTCAGTTCTCACCTCTTCAGGAAGGGCTTCTTCAAACCACTCTGGCTCGTGGCGATTTCTCCATCTTCTGAGTTCCTTCCTTCCCACAGTACCACACACCTGGCAGGTGGCACAGCAGCCTTACTGATAGATTTACATAGCTTTTCACATGAGTGTCAATGCTTTCCTCCTCTAAACTAAACACTCCTTGTTATGGGCTGAATTATGTCCGCCTCAAATTCATAGGTTGAAATCCTAATCCTCAGTACCGCAGAATGTGTAGGTATTTGGAGACAGGGTCTTTAAAAAGGTAATTAATTTAAATGAGGTCATCAGGGTGGGCCCTAATCCAGTATGACTGGTGTCTTTACAAGAAGAGGAGATTAGGACATACAGCTGCAGAGGGAAGACCAGAGAGAAGATGGCCAAGGAAAGAGGCCTCAGAAGAAACCAACCTTGCTGATAACTTGATCTTGGGCTGTTAGCTTCCAGAACTGTGAGAAAATAAATTTCTGTTGTTTAAGTCACCCAGTCTGTGGTATTTGGTTATGGCGGCGCTAGCAAACTAATTCCTCCCTCAAGAGCAGCCACTTTTGATTCGCTCCAAAGCTCGAATTAGGGAAATATTTGCCTCATACCTTGTCGTTTTTTTCCTGTCTCCATATTTCCTCCTGTATCTTTTCATGTTGTATTTCATTTGTGTCGCAACCAGACTGTCAATTGCTAAAGCACAGAGCTATGTCTTCTATTGACATACCCAGTAGGGCCCAGAAAGGGACTTTGAGCACAGAGGTTGTGGAAGGAACGCCTGAAGGGGAAGCATGTTGAAAAAAGTGTTTCAGCCACTGGGCTGATACAGATTGCCCTCAAAGGAAGTTCATTGAGGACGCTTCTTTTTCCTAAAGGTTTTCTCTAGGAAACTCAATCTCTTGCCATGAACCGCATCTGGCTGAGAAAGTACAGAGCAATGACATTAACTGTAATTGACATTAAAGCATCCCCCTGGACCACTGCTGATGGAGCTCCCAAGGTTTCCGGGCTCGGGTGCAGCAAGCACTGACATTCAAGCTTGCCCATCGTCTGGAACACTGAACCCGTCTCCTCTCCCCAGGCACAGAACAGCCTCCAGGCTTTGAGCAAATAAGAGCTGCAGCTCTTTTCTCTTCACGGAGGAAGGCGCCACTGAAAACTTTTATCTGATCTTTTTCTCTGAACTTCCTTTTCTCTCCTGCCAGCATCTCTCCTTTGAGTCCTCTTGCCACAACTAAATCTGTCCCCAGAGATTTACCTCTCCCTCTTAAAATTTTGGCCCAAATATGGAAAATACCTAATCCTCTTTCTTTGTGCTCCTTAGTGAAGCAGACACAGGCTGGAAGATTCAAAAGGAGCTTTACTATGAACTAAAAGGGGGAGGGGCACAAACATATGCAGAGCATAAAAATATTTATGAAGCGTTTGTCTTTAAACAGCTGGCCCACTTAACTGGCTCATAAGGACTATTCTTTCCACCTCTGGGTTGAGGAAATTCCTCTCTAATTCTTAGGCTTTTCTTCCTTTGGTTCTTTTCTATTCCCTTTCAGAGAAGCATTTGGGATTAGACACCTGGCATATACGGGCCAAAAAATGGGTCGATGAATGCAGAGCCCTCATACTTCTCTGCTCTCATTCCTCACAGCAAGACAGAGCCTATGCTGAACAGACCCTCTCACACCCTCCTCTATGCAGGCAGTCTCAGGGATGATGTCTGTGCCCCCATCCTGACTTGAGTTCTATTTGTCAACGAGAAGCTGGTTTCTCTTTGTGATTGGAGTATAAGCCAGCAAACTTGAAGACACAAAACTAGCTCCCTATCCCAATGCTCTGACTAAATAGCATATTTATTATAGGCATCTTGGCTAGTGGGACAGCCCTCCATGGAGGCCAGATAGGCAATGGCCTGTTCTGTTGTATTTATGGGCCCACTTGTGGGGTTTGGAGGTCTTGCCCATTTGTCTTGTCCATGCAAACAGGGCCTTGAAAAGGTGTATATTTTATCCCAGAGTTTTATAGTTTTAGCCTGGAAGATACCTCGGATCTCTTATCATGTCAGATATCATGAAATATAGCATAGCACGTCAAATAAATAAGGTAACACTTAGAATTAGGGAATGATCATTGGTTTGGAATCAGGAGGTCCAGGCTGGAGCCCTAGTTCTATCATTAACTAATCTCAGTGAGCCAAGGAAAGGCCACGTAAGGTCAGAGTGAGAAAATGGCCATCTGCAAGCCAGGAAGAGAGCCCTCACAAGAAACCAAATTTGCCAGCACCCTGATCATGGCCTTCTAGCCTCCAGAACTGTCAGAAAATAACTGTTGTTTCAGCTACCCAGTCTGTAACATTTTGTTGTGGCAGCCCAAGCAGACTAATACAGAGAAGTAGATCCTTCAGCCGCAGCCAAGCCTTCAGATGACTATTGCCCCAGCTCGACTGTAAACTCAGGAGCAATCCGGAGCCAGAACCACCTGACTAAGCTGCTTCTGAATTCCTGTGAAAAAGTAAATATTCGTTGTTTTAAGTCACTAAATTGGGGGTGGCGGGGTGGTAATTTGGTATGCAGCAATAGATAACTGATGCAAGAAGTGAGGGAGAGAACCCTTTATCCCAAGGCAGTATACTACGCAGGGCACTTGCATAGCCGGAAGAAGGAAGCATCATTTGTGAGACTTTACCTGGGGGACAGAGCCCAGCTATGCTCCATCCCACATCCATAAATGATGATACCTTCTTCCATCTATGCCAAAGGGTGGAGAGATGTGGTGGACAGATGCCTAGCTATGCTCCATCCCACAGATAACATCTCCCAAATGATGCTTCCTTCCTCCCAGAAAGATTTGCTAAGCATCCCCAGCAGCAGTGCATATGGCTCCAGGAAAAGCCACTAAGGATATCACAACATGGACACTTTCTTTTCAGGATTCTGTCTTTTACTTGGCTAATAAATTATTTTGGTTAAGATTTCTATTGAATACTGAGGCTTATGAACAAATGAATATGTAACAGTTTTAGGAGCAGAAACACTCAGAGATATTAACTCGTGAGACAATGAAGAAATCATGGGCATTAAATACCTGGAATCAATTTATTAGCTGGCTCTGCACTCCAAAATAAAATTCAGAGGAACTTGGAGAGGTGATCGTCACAGTGGTGGAATACTGAGTAGGTTTAGGACATTAGGCCTAAGCTTAAATAATTCCAGTTCAGGAGAATCTTGGAATGTTAGAGCTAGAGTATCTTAGAAATCGCCAGGACAACCTCTTTATTTCACCATGAAGGAGAAGTGAAGGCCCGGAGGCCGAGTCACTTGCCCAAGTGTAAGTGATATGGGTGTAAATGATGGAGCAGAGACTAAAGCTCTGGCCTCTGCATTTGAAGTGCAGGTGGTTCCACGCCCTTCAGGGCTGGGAGGAGAGCGCAAAAGCCATTGCCTTCTTGCGAGGGAGACCTTGGACCTGAGTCAGCACTGCACCACTGCCCCCCCCGACAGCCATTTCCTTATTTTCTCCTGCTCCTCACTATGTGGTCCCTTCTGCACAAAACCCCCAGGTTTCGTCTCAGAGGCTTTCTCACACAGATCACTCAACCCACCTGAAAAGTACTCTATGCTGATGAGAGATCACCTTACAACTGTTAGAATGGCTGTAATAACCAAGACAAACAACAACAAATGTTGGAGAGGATGTGGAGAAAAGAGAACCCTCATACACTGCTGGTGGGAATGTAAACTGGTGCAGCCACTATGGAAAACAGTACAGAGATTTCTCAAAAAATTAAAAATAGAAATACCATATGACCCAGCTATCCCACTACTGGGTATTTATCCAAAGAACATGAAATCAACAATTCAAAGAGACTTATACAGTCCCATGTTCATTGCAGCATCACTCACAATAGCCAAGATGTGGAAGCAACCCAAGCACCCATCAACTGATGAATAGATAAAGAAGACGTGGTATATATATATACAATGGAGTACTACTCTACCATAAAAAAAGGCAAAATCATCGCATTTGCAACAACATGGATGGACTTTGGGGGTATTATATTAAGTGAATAAGCCAGACAGAGAAAGCCCAACACCATATGATTTCACTCATACGTGGAAGATAAACAAATACACGGAGATAGAGAACAGATTAGTGGTACCAGAGGGAAAAGGGGTTGGGGGGTGGGTGAAAGGGGTAAAGGGGCACATATATATGGTGATGGATAAATAATAATGTATAAGTGAATTTCACAATGTTATAAACTATCATAACCTCAATTAAAAAAAAAAGTACTCTATGCTGCTTCGCTCAGACTCTGATATCCAGCAAGTCTTTGTCAGGGTAGGAAGACCGTGTAAGGGACAGTGGCCTGGAAGGCAGGGTTAGGTGACTGGGGTGCTAATACTGGCCACCTAAGATCTACCCTGGCATCTTAGGCAAGTCACACACTGCTTTGCAGCGCCGAAGTGCCCTTCCCATTATAGCTGCCATCTCATCAATGAGAGAAAGCAATCCCTTTGAATGAGCTAGCTAGCTAAGTCTCAGTGTGCTTAAATAATATAATGCTCTGATCTTGATAAAATGCCTCTCTCCCGGAGAAGCAAGGCCATGGTGGAGAACTCAGCACTGTGGAAGGTTGGAGTGCCAGTTTCCACTGCTACAAATCAGACTTGGAGACTCAAGGGACAGTGCTACCATGGCCTGCTGGCTTTGAGTGGACCTGTTCACCTATCTGGGCCTCACCATCTCCCTCTTTAAAAGACATTGCTTGTTATTTTCTCATCCGTGCTATGCTGTTGGATATATTATTTTCATTTTGCAATAAGTCCCAAAGCCAGTAGATTACTTGCGTATTTACAGTCCCTAAAATCAGAGTTAGTTCAACTGCTGTCCTCATATTGTGCTGTATTAAACACAAGAGCTTTGGAACTAGACAGACCTGGATTCAAAATCTGCTTTCTCACTTCTTGGCTGTTGGACTTGGGCAAGTTGCTCCACCGCTCTGAGCCCCGGGTTGATTTCATCTACAAAAGGTGGTGCTAGTAGTACACAGCTCCCAGGGTAGTTATGAGGATTAAATGAGAGCATCGTGCACAGCGCTGCGCAGTGTATGGCACAGAGAAAATGTTCAGCGAATGTTAGCTATGACTGCTGCTATCCTATATCTAGTTCATCAGCCCCTTTGTGTGCCAGGAACTGTACTGGACACCGGGGCTGCAAACATAGACAGCCGCTGCCTCAAGGAGTTCATGAAGTAGTTGCTATGCAGGGCTGGTTCTGAGGCATTTGGAAAATGTGGGGAAGACCAATGATCTGTCAAGCATTAAAGAAATGAGAGTGCTTAAATATTGGTGTGTGTGTGTTACTTTAAAAAAATGATTAGAGTGGTGTCTGGAAAGCCCAGCAAAAACCCAATATCTCCTAGGAAGTATTTAACAGCTATTTTCAGTAAGAAGTAAATATCAGGCTGCAAACTTTCCAGAATGTGCTCATACCAGATTACCTGCAGGCCATTGTGAAGAGAGCCGTGCATTCCCCCATAGGGCGAGCCTGGGCATGAGAGGAAGGAGGAGGAAGAGACAGAGACCCAGTGGGTGAGAAGGGTAAACAGGGTCTCCTAGTGTCTATTTGGGTCCCTATGCTGCAGGCAACCCTCCAAGCAGGTGTGGGACCCATCGGAGTGTGTGTAACATCTGAAGGAGAACATGAGAATGTGTAGCTTACTGCCCAGAGTCAACAAATGCTGAGAATTTGTGTCCTGAATCAGTTATGATTTATGTTAACTTTACTGCTCTGATCTTGGGGTAACTATCTCATGCTTAACAGAATAGGGGATGGCCAACTGACAATTATAAGGCAGTGAGGTAAGTGCTGTTACAGTGGAGAGACGCTGAGCTGTGCCAGGGGGCACGTAGGAGGGGCAGCTCCCTGGGGGGGGGGGTAGGGAGGGCGTTGAGGGGGATGGGGGTTGGGGGGTTGAGGGGGGGGGAGGTGCGGGAACACCCTGAGGAAGGCTGTGAAGCCCTGAGTCTGTGAGGGTAAGGCGGTGTTTTCCATAAGTCTCTGCAAATACTCTCAGCCGGTTAATAATTGTCGCTTTAAGAAATTCTTTTCAAGTTCTAGTCCAAAAGGGAAAAAATGAGGAATTCGTCTACTTTTTATTACATTTACCATGTTTGTTTGTTTATTATAAAGACCTCCTACCTAATGATAATGATGATGATTTTATTTTTATAACAAGCTATTAAATGCTCTGAGAACCACAAACTCTGCTGATAAGAATTTATTTCAATAATCCAGCTCCACCCTCATGAACTTAATTTCTTTCCTGGGAAGGTAAATAAATAGTGACATTTGGGGAAGGACAGTCCTTAGAAGCATGATTTGCTGAGTGTCTTCTCTATACTCTTTAATGATTTCCTAAATCCTGGCTCACATGAACACTAACTGTTCATTTTCAGGGAAAAGCAGGGAGTGTAGCAGATATGCAGCACCAGAACCTTGGGAGAAGGGGCTGAATTGTGCGCAATTATTTGGGATGGTTCGGGTTAGCGACAGGTCTTGATTTACTGATTTCCTAAGATGTGTAGAACAGCTTAGGCCTGTTGTACTTCTCTTCCTTAGAAAGCTCCTCCCTGTAAATATCTCAGGCATGAATGCTTCAAAGAAGTTGACAAGAAACTTGCTCTCCCATTTATTGATTTAAACAGGCAACTTTAAGTTTCCTTAGCTTTCCTCTGACAGCGATACTGAAAAGGGGTGGGAAGGGTCACTGCTCATGCAAAGGTAGGTACTGAGTACAAACTTGATGCCCAGCCTGGGCTCTACCCCATGGGATTTGCGAGACAAGTAGTCTAAGACTTGGTCTCTAACTGCAAGTTACTTATAATCTATTTGAGGAGGTAGGACTAAAATAGATGGAGCAAATGATTTAATGCATTAAATATTTACCAAGCCCCTACCATGTGCTAACCCAGTCACGCTCAGCCTGCCTGTGAGGAGCACTGTGATTTCTTCAGATGCAGAATGGCTGGGCCTCACCCCCAGAGCAGTGGCCCTGCAAGAGCCTTTCAGACTTGCATCAACATCATCTGGGAACTTGCTACAAATGCAAATTCTTGGTCCCATCCCCCAGTCTCAGGGGGTGGGAGTGGGGGCAGCAATCTGTGTTTTAACAAGCCTTCCAGGTGTTTATGATGCACAAATGCTCAAATTTGAGAACCATCTGATTCAATAGGCCTGGCGTGGGAAGTGGGAGTTTGGGCTCCTGAATATTTCCAAAGCTGAACAAAGATGTTGATGTGCGGTCAGGATTGGGAACCACTGGGCCGGTAATACGGGAGATGCAGGGATGCAGAGAGCTTAGTCTCTGACATGAAGGAGCTCACAGTTTAGTGGACAATATTAAACCAAATGCTACTGAATGCCCCAGAACAGCTCTGTCTGCGGGAAGTTCCTGGAGGAGCTGGAGCTCACCCTGTGTCTTAGAGCTGAGCAGGATTCCAGAAGGCTGCAGGAGGACCTTTTCAAGGGACAGAAAAGCAAAAGGGCCAGGGGCAGGAAGGAGAGGGAAGAGCAGACAACAACCTGCTCTTTACGCAGCTCTGAAGACAGCATCCATTTATTCAATTAACAGACATTTCCTGAGTGTCTACTCTTACTGACTATTTATGATTTAGAGCTCACTAATTGCCAAAAGGGATTGGAGGTGGTTTACAATGTGAAAACACATCTAACAGAAAAATAATGTGAAGAGAATAGAGTCCCACTAAAAGGAACTGGAAGACACATCTTTCAGGCACCTGGGATGAATTAATTGAGGCCTTGCTGGGAGCAGGGCCCTGTGACAGATGCTGTGGGGTTTGCCGAGAGAGATGAAGGAGGAAGAAAGGACAATCAAAATGCACATCAATAACCCTACTTGGACAAAGAGCTACAACAGTTTAGAGGTCATTTCCAGCTGTCGAAGTGGGTGCCTGTGTCTTGAAGGAGGTCAAAGGTGTGGGTGCTGAGATTAGGGCCACAGCTGGAAGTGGGAAGGAGCATCAGTGGAAGGAAGAGTATCCACAAAGTCCCCAAGGGAAAGAAGTAATGGAGATAAAGAGTTGGATAAATCAACAGGAATCGGGAGATTTCGCACAATGAAAAAGCTGAGACTAAATCTTAGAGGGGCTTACCTTCGGTTGGAGAATCTGTGTCCAGCTTGTGTTAGTAGGGAGACGCTGGAGGTGTTACAGCAGGGGAGTAACAGGAGGCAAGTTATATTTTAGGAAGTTGAATGTAACAGAAGCAGGTAGGGTGGAGTGGAAGTAGAGACTATAGGTAGGGAGACCACTTAGGAGCTTATATCTAATCTAAGGGGGATTTGGATGGCCTGAGCTGGGGATGGCAGGAGCAAGAGAAAAGAGGGTAGTTGAAAGAGAGGCTTTGGAGTTATAATGGACAGCTTGCTACTCAAAGTGTTTCAGAATCTGCATTTTAAAAAGAATCTGCATTTTAACACAGTAAAGTTAGAGAAGCCTTGGTTACCAGGACCTGGCAACCTCCTGAAGGTAGGGAGTAGGGGGACATTCTAAGATAACGTCAGATCTTCTGAGGATTGGATCATAAGGGTTTGGGGGTAGAGTCAGAATCAGTTTGTGTTAAGGCTGAGAGGACCAGCATGGGGGTTCAGGGGCTCATAAAGGGAAATGTTGGGAGCCAGTGTTTGCTTAATTTTTGTATTTTTACTCCAAATCATTGTATGGTGGAGCGACTTAAATCACATTGTATAAAATTCTCTCTGTAAAATGGAGAAATAACAATATTGCCCCGATTTTATGTTTTATAGGAAAAAAACCCAAATGAACGCACCAAATTTTTGTCAACAATAATGATAATAGTGATGATAACGACAAATACTACCATTTACTGAGTGATTGCCCTGTTCCAGATGAGGTACTAAATAGTTTACTTCTATGCAAATGAACAGTAATGTACCTACCCCAAATTTCCCTTATTTGTTATAAATTTTTACCTTTTGTACCATATAATTTATCTATTTATCCATCTGTTTCCCCCAATAGACTCTTCTTGGTTTTTCCAGTAGTTAACCTAGCATCTTACAATGAACTCATTTTTTTTTTTTTAGTGAATGAAAATCCCGTTGAATGAGAGTAGCTATCCATGCAGTGCTTTCAACACCACCATACTTTGGCACATATTACCGTGCACTCGCTGATGTATCTGCCTCATAGGAAGAGACAAGTTTAGTCATTCTCCTGTTCCCAGTATTGAACCCAGTGTCAGACATACAGTAAGTGCTCAATAAATTTGGATGAGTGAATGAATTTGTAGTTTGCACTAAAAGGTTTTTAAAATGTGTTAGTCAGCTCCTAAAGTTAATAAAAGGAACCTCAGAATCCTCAGATTTGAATTTCACCAAAGAATGTTGTAACATTATCAAGTATGTTTTCATTTGGCCAAGGAAGAAAGGATGTCATAACAGATGTGTCATGATTTCTACAAAGTTCTAGGAAAAGAAACCAGGAAAATGAGATTTTGACAGTGTCATTCCACACTATGGAGAGGACTGGCTGTTCTTCTGATAAAAACAGACACCTCTTCAGACTGGAGACACCTTCTCCAGTTACACCGGCCTGGTGGGAGGATCCTCATATCCATGAGAGCAACTTCCGGTCTGAAACCTGGCCTCCTGAGGATGTGTGACCCCCCCAGTCAGAGTGTTCAGAGCAGGTAACTAGCCTTGGGACAGCTGCTAAAAGCAGCCTGACCAAGCAGAAGGAAGTTTGAATCCTAGCTCCACTAGATGCTAAATCTGAAACCTTGAGCAATTTACTTGGCCTCTATGAACCTTCGTTTCTTCATCTGTAAAATAAGAATGAAACTAACCTTTCAAGGTTATGAACATTAAAAAGTAAAATCGCGCGTGTAAAGCTCATAACCCAGTATCTGGTACCTAGCACAATAATATCAATGCCCCTTGTCCCTCCCCTGCCTCTGCCCATCCTTCTCCCACCCACCCTCAGACATTCCTCTCACGGTTAACAAGGACATTATTATTCTTCTGCATTCCTGCAGGTGCACGCAAGCGCATGGTGACCACCTCAAAGTACTGTTTTCCTGTGGCCTCGGCGTCCACAAGCCTTCTCCTTTTGTCATCATTATTTGTCGTTTCCTGACACGCTAGCAATTCATCCAGCTAGCTTTGAGGACAGTGTTCTTTTTACCCAACTCTAAGTCTGCAGGACTGGTTCCAAACCCTCTTCTTAACCTTTCATCATCCTAGGCACTAAGAGAGCACAGAGTCTGCCTAGGACCCACGTAATCCACTACCCTCTCCTGAAGCAGACACCATGGAAATCACAATGATGCAAAGAGGCAGAACTTGCCAGAGGTCAATGACTAGATTGGACTGTGGATGCTGTCAAGCCATCTTTCCCTTTCCCAAGTTCTGTTAAATGTTTGCTACTTCCAATATGCCTAAAAGGGAAAATTAAAGAATAATTCAAGGGGCCTAGGGACTGAATTCCCTACCACAAAACCATATGGGCTTGTCCTACATTAAAACTCCGCTAAAAATTCATGGTTGGTGGCCACGATCCTTCCATTCCTTCTACCCTCCAACCTGTCTTCCGCACTGGCTTGCTCTTACATCGCAGACTGAAGAGGGAGCAGTTGAGCCCGAGTTCTGGGAAATTCCTAGGGTTTGCAGGTAGGGAGGTTTCTAGTAGTTACCACCTGCCTCCCCAAGGCCAGGAGCCTCCCCTCCAGCTTCATCACTTTCACCCAACCCCAGGGCTCCACGCGCTTTGGAGGGATTGCTATAAATGGTCATCAAGGGGAAGCGGCCAGAATGCCAAGAGCTACAAGCCTGACAGAGCTTGTGTATCAGCCTGACAGCTTCAATAGCCCAGAGTCTACATGGAATCCCAAACAGCCCTCGTTTCTTCCTCCCCAACCACAGGCCGCCTGCCTGCCTCCCTGGCCTTGTTTAAACAAGATGAGAGCAGGCTGTGTTTGGACTAGCAGGCTGGTGGCCTTTCCCCAGTGCTGGAGAGCAGGTCAGCGTCACTGCTCAGCCTGAATGTGAAGTGTGCTCCTGCATTTGGGTCGTCCTGACTTGTAGAAACTGGGGACTGTAGGAGTTTCATCATCTCAGAAGTCTGCTGCCAAAGGTGAGACATGTCCATGAGAAGCACTGATTGTTTGGCTCTGGTGTAGTAATAATTACAGTGAACATGACCGTGTGCCAAGCACGGCATGAGGTACTCTGGGGTAATGTGCATACAGTGCTCAGCACGGCACTTGGCACAGAGTAAATACTCAATAAGTGATAGCTATTATTATCAATAATCCTATAGATCATCCTACGAAAAGGTAATATTATTATTATCGTTTTTTCTTTCTTTTTTGTTTTTTGGTGGCTGAGGAAACAGACACTCAGAGAAGTTCAATAACTAATTCACGGTTTCATTGCCATCAGGTCAGAAAGATGGAGTGGAAAGCCAGGCTGGTTTGATTGCAGAGACTCTGCCATGCCTGCGTTCCGTGCCACCTCTACCAGAGTGGCAAGAGATGACCACGGAGTATAGCCCAGCTCTGAAGAAGTCACCTCCTTACTCTGGGCTTGCAGTATGAGTTGAAATTATTGACCTCCAAAGATCCTTCTAATGTAACCTGCTGTGACTTGAAGTTGATGATCTCGGGGGAAGGGAGAGCGCCTTCCTAGCGGAGAAATTTGCCTCCTTCCTTGTCCAAGAGAAGGCTGTTTGCAGATGGAGGAGGATTGCGTTCCAGGAGAAGCAAATGAAGAGCCTGGGCTCTCATCCAGCCCAGGGAAGAAAGATGGACAGACTACCTGGGGTGAAAGATGCATCAGAAAGCAGAATGCCTGCTCTCAAACTGACTGAGGGACGCCAGTCTGCCAAGGTCAGCGAAGGAAGTAGGACTGAAGAAACCTTTTCCAAAGAATCTGAGCTGAAAATGCTGTCAGAGCTTGGAAATCTGCCATCCTAACTTCCTCTTCCCACTTCATCCACTGCCCTCCTCTGGTCCACTACGTGAGACATGGGCTTTTTGCTCAGAGCAAGCTGCAGAGGGAGGGTCATCTATCTAGCGAGGGCAGTGCTGTGGCACCACACCCCGAAGCCGGGGCCAGGGCACACCAGCTTCAGCCAGAAAGCACCCCAGGCTAGTCACCCACACAGGCTCTCCCCATGTACATCGGGATTCAACTGGCTTCGTTTTGTGGCTTTTCTCTGAAAGCCCTCTTTTCCTTCCAGACTTGGAAACAATTGCAGTAGTTGGGCTAGTTACTTTGGAATGAGACGGGGCTGTTCTTGGGTGTCTGAGAACCTCTGGAGCTGCTTTTCTTCTTGCCAATTCAATTGTCCTGCAGTGCCCCTGTGAAGGAGATAGGGCAGCTGAGCAGCTGTCCCTGCCCAATAGTCAGTACCCTTCCCAATTCTAGCCTTTTCCTGTCAGAATTCTCCTCCTCCAAGAAGCCCTCTGAGATTGGATCCAGCAGCAGTTTCTTCTTGTCCTTCCCCCTCTCCACAGAATTTACAAGGTTCACATACTGCTAATTATGTTCTCATTTACATTTTTCTGAGGTTGGTGCTGTGTCTCAGGTTTCTACTTTTTGGTTTTCCTTCTCTAATTTGTATATTCCATTAGACTGGGAGTCCTTTAAGAAGAAAAAACCTCAAGTGTCCTTATCCCCCTCAGTCCCAAGTTTTGCAGTATCCAGTCTGGGCTTCGCAGGGGGCTATGCTGCCTCCATGCAACAGATTCACTTTGCCTTGAAGTCTCCAGTATTGCAGCTATGAGAGGGATGGTGGGGAAATCTCTGGTCTTCAGAGACCCTGGACGGCCATAAGGAGGACAGCAGAACAGAGCCGGTCCCCCAAAGGACAAAATGTCTATTTTTGCACCTGAAAATGAGCTATGGGACCCCTGCTGGGGAATAGCCTCCCAACACTGGGCTCTGGGGAGAAGCTGCGTCCGAAGGCCCAGGAAGAGGTGCAAAGAGGGAGAGATTTTGCTTTGGCTGAGAGGGCCTCCGGGACTCCCAGAGGAATCCCAGGCCTCATATATATTTATGTGAACTTAAGATGCTAATGAACGTTGTGGAGCCAAGAGCCCTGCTGGGCTCCGTGAGCAATCGGCCCCACTCTTAACACAGTCTTCTTTGTCTGCAGGGCTTTAGGTTCAAATTGCAGATCTGGCTTTGGAAGTGCAGCTGACATGGAAACCTGCCCGGGCCTATAGCTGAATCACAGTGGGCTCTGGGAGACAGCGGAGCTTCCCACCCTGTTTCCTCGGACAATACACTGAAGCCAAGGGCTGGCTGACGTCACCTTGTCCACCTTCCAGTCTCCAAGGAGGACAGTGTCCAACTCCTTTTACAGTCGGAGGTTTTTACCCTATTCTGAAGGCATCTCCACTAATAATGTATGAGAATTCCTGGAAGGATGTTCTGAAAGGGCTACAGTCTTCCCCTTCACTGTTTTGATGACACCTTTCCAGGGACATGTCACCCCTTGCACATGTGGGTACCAACCAGGAGCTTCCCTCTCCTCTTTATCATTTCCCCAAAGTCAAACCTCTCTTTTCCCAGGCTTCCCCAGAATAATGATCCGTAAGAGCAGATATAGTTTGCTTTAACCTCTTAGAAAGAACTCATTTCTGGGACAGGATGGTAGGACTAGGATCCTCCTAGAGTGGGCCACGTGTCACTCAGGCTGGGAAGATCAGTGCTGGCATTCGTCAGAGCAGGAGCAACTGTCCATGATCCAGGACCGCTTTTCCTAAGGCTCGTGCCACCTCATAGCCTGGATTTCTGAGAGAGACCCTGGTTGTGTCCTGTTATTCCTCAAGTATTCTCGTGCTAGTCAGACCACAAACTTGCTTATATCTGTAAAGGACAGTCTTCCATGAACGTATGCACGGGCACACGTAGATATGGGCTGACACGTCTGTTTGTGCATGCCAGATGGAAGTCTGTGCCTAATAACCACAAGGGAATGATTGCACAGTGCCTGGCTCATTACAAACATTTTAATGCGTATGATCTCATCTTGGTGTGGCTAGGGAAAACAGCACAGGCTTTGCAACAAGATATATACAGTACTAGGTTGTGACTTTGGCCAAGTTTTGAATCTCTAAGAGCCTTACTTTTCTGCTTTGCAAAATGGAAGTTAGTATCCTCATTTTGCAGATAAGGAAACTGAGGCTCAGGGCAAGCGACTTACCTAAGGTCACATAGCTGACAGAATAGGGAGGTATCCAGGGCTCCCCTGTCCATCAGATTTTTTTTTAAATTCCAGTGCTGGGAGTCTAAACTTCTATGAACCTGGAGCTTTCCCCCTGATGGAGAGGCCAGGACTTGTCCTTCAGAGTCAGTTCTTCCTACACTTACTTAAATGCTGTATCTACTATAATATGCTTCCTCATATTTCCCTCCAAATTTAGTTCTTTGGAAATAGGAGGGAGTTTGAGAACAATTTTTTTTGCATACTATGCATAATAGGAAGTTCCAACTGTGTTCTCCTTTCCTATTCAGGGAAGCAAGATGGTTAAGAGGAAGGGATGACACAAGCAAAGATTGTCTGGACTTAAATCACATGCTGAATCTGGCTCCTTTTCCAGCTGGACTCTAAAGCGCTATCTCCTGAAATGTAAGATTTCACATCTAGGCCTGACATTGGGTCTCTTTGAGCTGATTTGTTAAGCATTGAAAAAATAAATAACAATGCCTCCCACTTGCTTCCTCCTTCTGAAGATGTGTCTGGTCTCTGGGGAGACTTTGTACTGGATGACCTTGCTGGCCTGTCCCTCTTCTCAAGAAGGCCCTTCTGTCCAGAGGCAGCATTCTAAGGTCCTTTATATTCTCTTTCTATTTCAGGCCCCCATGAATTTTCTTTAATCTAGACATTAGGAAATACTTAAGATTGTTTTTTAAATGATCATTTAAGGGTTATTTATTTCATAGCCCATTACTCAACCCAGCATTCTTTCCCTTGCCTTAAGCCATATGGTTTGTGTTCACTGTGAAACATGATAGTGGGATGTCAAGCTTTTGAAAGTACAGGCAGGGAAAAGGGGGAAAGGCTCTATCTTGCAAAAGTGGTAGCTTTTCCTTCATCTTTCATGACCCAAAAATGTAGTTGGAAGCATTTTAGCTTTGGCTGGATTATGATTTACTTGGGCCATTGCATTTGTCGATAAAGACTGCAGCCTTATGAGTCTCAGTTGCAACTGGAAATAGAACTCAGTGGGTCCTAATATCAAAGAAAACTTCAGGGGCCGGCCCCGTGGCCGAGTGGTTAAGTTCGCACGCTCCGCTTCAGCGGCCTAGTTTTTCGCTGGTTCGGATCCTGGGCGCAGACCTGGCACTGCTCATCAGGTCATGTTGAGGCGTCGTCCCACATAGCACAGCCAGAGGCACTCACAACTGAAATATACAACTACGTACTGGGGGGCTCTGGGGAGAAGAAGAAGAAGAAAGAAAAAGATTGGCAACAGATGTTAGCATAGGTTCTAATCTTTAAAAAAAAAAAAGAAAAAGAAAACTTCAGAGGAAGATGTTTATCCTCCTGCATAAAGAGCTGACTCTGGAGGATCACATCTTGGCCTCTGCTTCAAGTGGAAACTTTAAGGTTCAAGAAGTTTTGACTCCTAGGGCTGTGAGCTACCTCAAGAAGTTCTCTCATCTAGTGCTTCCCTAACTCTAGGGTATAATTTGGTGCCACTTGTCCATGATGAAACTTTCATGGTTTCATAAGGAAGTAAGAAAAAACACAGACAATGTAATATGTATGGTGTAAAATGAGATAATGGTAAAATGCTTAGAATGGTGCCTGGCATACAGTCAGCCACTCAGCAAATGTTAGCTGTCGCAGACAGAGAGCTGTTAGGGTATGGTTGTCAATTGTATTTTTGCTATTATTTTTGTTGTGTTGAAATGCCATTTCTTTTTAGGAAAAATTTCAAAAGTAGGATGATAATTCCTATTTTTGTTGAATATCTATAGTCAGCAATATTTTAAAAGTGGGCCCAAATTTATTTTTGAAATTTTACTGGTCCTTGTAATCTAAAAGTCTGAGAAACGCTAATCTAGGCATGCCTATACCCCAAATCAAGTTTTGTCTAATCCATAAATGGGTTACTTTTTGAGTGACCTGAGGAACCTTCACTTCTTGGGCTTTTCCACATTTGTCCACAAGGAATGGCTGTCTCTGGGTGGGGAATTATACTGGTGATCCATGACTCTGTAGACTTCTTTCAAAGGTCAGGATTGAGCAAATGGAACCCTAGCCACTGAGACTCATCCTCCTTCACCTTGCTCAGAACTAGGCTTTCCCACTTCAACTACCTATTCTCTCCTGGCTCATTCACCCCTGCCGGAACCACTGGAGGTGGAAGTTGTATCTCCCCTGAGAGACAGCCTCACCAGTGCCAGCAGTCCATTTCCGTCCATGAGCCAAGCCTGTCAAGCTAAGTCTCACCTTTGCTGAGAATTGACAGTGTATGTAAAGAGACAGTATGTATATCTCCTTGACTATTTATATCACACGAGTGAGAATCACCATTTTGTGCGTAATTTACTAATACTTCATGTGTGACGTTTGGTGTGAGAGACACCAGGGTAATGCTATACTCAGCTCTGAGCCTGCTCACTGCAGAGACACAGCTCTTCCCAGAGGTTTAGGACAAGGGGGGGTCATTCATTCATGTGTTCAACAAGCACTGTTGTGTACTATGGGTTAGATACTGCGGGGAAAGCAAAGATGGAGCAAACCAAGGTCATGCCTTTAGAGAGCTTACAGGCCAGAAAGTGAAAGAAGATATGTATGTGATTAATTATATTCCCAAGAGTAGAGGTGATTGGTGACATAACGGAAAGTTTATGAGACTTTAGAGCAGACAGAGGTTACTTCAACTGAGAGGAATGAGGAAGGTCTTTAGTAAAGATGGTATTGAAGCCATTTAGCTATCCTGGAGCAAGCCTCTGTCTTTGCATTCAGAGTCCTTCCGGAAATCCTCACTACTTTGGGGTGTTTCTTGCTCCCTTTGATGCAATGTGTATTTGGGGAGGGGGTTTCAGGAGGCAAGGGTGAGGGAAAAGGGGGCAGCTGGGAAGACGGGAAGTGGGTATTGACCCTGTGCCTCCTGTCTCTTGGGTATCCTCTTGGAGGCTCTGGTGGGTCACCTCATCCTTGCTGAAAGGAGAACTGAAAAGAGGGGCCCCTGAGCTGGGGGGCCAGTCCCATTTGGTTCCATTTTACTTCATTTTCCAGCCCCAAGAACTTGATGGTTAATTTATCTTGAACCCAGATAGAAGGTTCATGGGAATGCAGAGAATTGAGACAGGGCTGGAGATGTGGGCCCTGCCTCAAGTTCGAAACAGATCAGACAGGGGCTGGCCCCGTGTCATAGTGGTTAAGTTTGCGTGCTCTGCTTAAGCGGCCTGAAGTTCACAGGCCCAGGTCATGGGCGCAGACCTAGCACTGCTTGTCAAGCCACGCGGTGGCGGCATTCCACGTAAAATAGAGGAAGATTGCCACAGATGTTAGCGCAGCTCAAGCAAAAAGAGGAAGATTGGCAACAGAGGTTAGCTCAGGGCCCATCTTCCTCACACACACACACACAAATCTGACACCTACAAAATAGTACAGAAGTCTAGAAGCAGAGGGAGACCGAAGGATCCTACAAATCTGGATTACAGCTGAACCTCAGGTCTAAACCTTCTCCAAGGCTTTCTAGGGATCAGAGATGGGTTTCCATCCTTCCTGGGTCCAGATCAGAACCTGAAAAAATTCATTACTAAGAATGCCATCCTTTCGGATTTATGAAATATGTTTAAAATATCTTGCTTGAGATGATGGTTTCATGGGTATATACGTATGCCAAAACTTAACAAATTGTATGTCTTAAATATGTGCAGCTTATTGTATGGCAATTATATCTCAGTAAAGCTGGATTTTTTTAAGTACTTAGAATTGGTGTCAAATAGCCTCCTCCATAACAACGCCCTCAATAAGTCAAGGCCCTGCTCCCCTGCACAGATTAGGCTCCCTGAAAGTCCCGCCTAGTGCTACCTTATTCTGTACGGGGGCCAGGCCTGCCAACACAATAAAGATAGTTAAAACGGGAAATGATCCAAGTTTGCACTATTTCTCACTCAGATTCCCACTGTCCTCATTCCATCCCTTCGCCCCAGCATTTTTCTCCTTTTCACAGTCTGAGAGACCAGGCTCAAATCCTCGCTTTCTCTTACCAATTGAGTGACATTGGACAAATAATGAGTTTCAGCATTTTGCTCATCTATAAAATGGAGATAGCTTAGGGTTCTTATGGAGATTAATTCATCTACATATTGAGTGCCCATAACATGACTTCAATTAACGATGGTCAGCCCAGTTATTATAATAACTGGGGAGAAAAGTGAAAGGAAACAGGAATGTTTAGTTTGTAAAAAGGAAGAGCAGGAGGAGAGACAAACAGGAAAGGGCTTTTGGGTAGGAGGATGTCTGGCTACGATGTGGTAGAAGCAACATTGTCTCTGAAGCTCATTGGCCGTCACTTGGGGCAAGTCACTTAAATCCCTCCGTCTGAGCCTCCATTTCCATGTTTGTAAAGTGGGCATCGAAACTACAGGCTTCAGGCTGTGGCTGTGAGTATTACATGAGGTGAAGGGTATATGGAAATGTCCAGCACAGCGCCTATCACTGGTAAATGTTTTTAAAACATCACTTTATAAATTGGAGGACCCTGTACTTGTAAGGTGATTATGGCAGTTACTAATCTTTGTAGCCTCCGTTGGTGGCAGTTACCAGGGAGGGCGACTCCAGCTCAGAGTCAAAAGTCCTTTTCAGTGGTAAGAGCTGTCTTAGAGCAGGAAGGACGCTTTGCAAGTATTGAGCTTCCTGTTGCTCAAATGGAGGATGGATGATCATCTTCCAGAAAGGATCTCTGCTGGGTGGAAGGGGGAAGAGACAGACTTGTAAAAGTTTTCAACAAGTAGACATTTAATCTTCTGTGAACAGGGAGGGCTGGGGAAAGGTGGAGGCTGCACAAATGAGCTGAGGCATTATAATAAGTACTATAAAGGCAAACCCTATAGCGGCCAGAGGGGACCTGGTCAGCCCGAGCTCAGGGCACTTTCTTTCCATGAGGCAGAGAGAGTGATGGTGGGGACGCTGGAGACACATGCCTAGATGGCTGAGTGTCTGTGGTCAGAGGAGGTTTGGAAATTCTAGGGGAACCACTCTTGCCTCTCAAAACAAGAACTGTCATGCCCCGTCATGGGAAGCCCAGTGGCAGCCAGGTACAGTAGCCGTGATCAGCAGGGACATAGGCTAGTACCATGGACCCCCTTTGCCGTCTCTAACTCAGGTGGCCATATTCCTGCAAACAGTCTTTGAAGATGTGTGTATACTTTAAAATCCTTGGGGTTGCTGAGCGGTTGAAAGAGCTTTGGGCTAGGAACCAGGACACTGGGCTGGAGTCCCAGCTCTGCCGCCATTAATCAGCTATATGATCTAAGGAAAGCAGCCTAATCTCTCTGAGCCTCAGTTTCTCCCCCTCTGGCTGTCTCTTCCTTCCTGAGAGATATTTTCCACAGATGAATCGCATTGGCTGGGAACTTGTTGGAAAAACAGACTCTCAGGCCCTACTCCAGACCTACCAAATCAGATCTTGCATTTTAGCAAGATCCCCAGGGGGTCCATAAGCACCTTAAAGTCTGAGAAGCATGGGTTTAGATGTCTTGAATAGTGTATTAACTATGGCACCGGCTTTAAAGTCAGACGGCCTGGGTTCAAATTCGGAGTCCATGGCTTACTAGCTGTGTAACCTTCCGCAAGGACTTAGCCTC